TTTTTTTGCATGGTTAGCAGCGAGGGGTGTGATCTTGACAGCAGAAAATCTCCGCAAGCGAGGAATTACACTTGTGAGTTGGTGCTACATGTGCAAAAGCGCAGGGGAAGAACTGGATCATCTTTTGTTGCACTGCCGTGTCTCCTCGGCCTTGTGGAGGGTTATATTACATCTTTTTGGTGTCCAATGGGTGATGCCAAGCACTGTTAAGGAAATGCTACAGAGCCGGGCAGGTCTACGCAGGCGAAGAAAACAAAAGGCGTGGAAGTTCGCACCGCTAGCTCTCATGTGGATAGTTTGGAGGGAGCGAAATAGGAGAGTTTTTGAAGGAATTGAATTACCTTTTTCAAATATTAGTAATAGTCTTTTATCTTTGCTTGCTTATTGGTGTACTCATGTAGCCCCACTTGTGTGGACCTTTGGGCGTCTTTTGTAGAGAATCATGTTCTGATGTAAATTCTCTATTTTTCTGTGTAACTCTGTTAAAAGGGAATTTTCCCTTTCTATTGGATTAATACAATTTACTTTATCAAAAAAAAAAAGAAAATCTTTTGATGACTATGTTGATGCTTATTATTCATGCTGATGCTGCTGATGGAAATCACTGATGCTCGCGCTGGAACTTAATAAAGCTCTAATGACAATGTCATCCTCACAATACTGACCAACAACAATATGGAGCTCCTCTTTATACCGATCAAAGATTTTTTTTTTTTTTGGAGCTCCTCCTTGTACTTGCCTTTCTGTCCCCAGCTCCCCAGCAAATGCTTCTGGTAAATATTTTAGTTGTTTTGGAAGTTTGAGGAAGGGGTCAAATAATTCCTTTCTCGGCCTTTTGGCTAAGATGAAGTGGTCGAAGAAAAATACAAGTATGTTGCATTAGGGTGAATTTATTTTTCTGCTTCCAATTACCCAGGTCATTGCTGCCATTTGACCTATCCTTTCACAGGGTGGAGCTAAGCCTGGTCCTCCAGATGTTACACTTTGATCTCTTAGTTGAAGTTGTTTGTGTACCTAGAATGAGCTTACTGAATTGGTATTTTTCCATCCTAGGCCTCGTGTAAGTTATACAGCTGAGCCACTAATATGCTAGCTATGGTCAAGGTAAATAGGAAGGTGAGTGATGGCCCTATCTAAGAGTGTTTCCTTGTGATCTTGGGGAATTCTTTTCTATAATTGACAGTTTATGTATCGGTAATTTTCTCACTTTCATGTTTTGCCCCATTGAAATTGCTTACACTGACCGGATGAACAATATCAAAGCAAAAAATGCACCCCTCCTCCTGCACAAACAAAAAATAGGAAAAGAAAAAGAATAGAAAGGAAAAAAGAAGATTGTGTATCCATATTAGATAACCTCTTAAACAAAATGTGGTGCACTTTAAAAAACTCTCTTGCAGACGTAGAAGCAAGCCAATGATACTGTCGACATTGTGAAATGCTCTTCATTTTTACTTTTTTTAATTTTATTTTAGAATATTTCCTAATTTTAATAGTATCATTGGCTTGATTTGTGTGTATGCATAAGAGTTTTTTTGTTTTCATCACATATTGTCATTAAGTAAAATTGTTTTCTTAATTTTGACTTCATATTCATATTTGATCAGACCCCAAATCCTGCCTGGCCTCCACCTTCACTTTTCCATCCTCTGCAGCCTGAAAGAATTAAAGACGTCAATAATTGGAATCCAATAGCTGGTTCTGGTCCTGTTCCATGGAGACAAGCACCAAGTTTATTTAATGGTTCCGCCATTCAAAATGAGTTGCAGCCCAGGACACCCTTTCTTGATGCCACAGGCAGCGTCGACAGACTTTGTCTTGGTGAGAGACCGTCTGCCTTGTCCTCCGACAACAGCAGGAAGGACTCTTGTGAAAAGTTGATGAATGGAAAGCTGAAGATTGGTGTACCAGGAACACTTGAAAATGGATATGCTGGTACTGATATTCACTTACCACATAGATTTTTTTTTAAAAACTGGAAATGCTCTTGGTTTACTCATATCTAAGATGTTCTACTACAGTGATAATTACAGGTTTAGGCTGTTCTAATATGGAGTAACCATTGTCTTACAGGTCTTAATCATGAGGAGCCCCCTAAGTCTTGTATAAGTGGTCCACCACAATTATCTTATGCAAAGAATGATCTTTCTGCTCCCAGTTTTTCTTTGACTATCGGTTCTTCTTGCAAAAATGAACCAACTGATCACAGTAAGGTGTCTATTAGTCTCCAACAACAAACCACACTTTCGACTCCATTGGGGAAGCAGCTTGGTGGTCATGCTACAGTGGATTACGCTGGAGAGACTCAAGTCCGCAATTCGAAAACCCGTGTAGATGGGAGAGGAAAGCATCATTTACTTCCTCGTTACTGGCCTCGCATAACGGATGAAGAACTACAACAAATATCTGGAGAGTATCCTTTGTTTTTAAAGGACCTTTTGAACTAATGGAGATGTCTTAATGAAATAATTTCCTGTGGTTATATTATGCATGGTTGTACAATATAAAATTCGTTTGGGATGCACTGCGTCTTTGCTGATAGCTAATGCATCTGGTGCAATGCTCGTTTGCCAAAATTACATGGATATGTTTATTCGCCAAGTGGCTGGGTGCAAGTCAGCTAATTGTTTACAATCTTGACAATGCTTTAGCTCAAATTCTGTAATTACTCCTTTGTTTGAAAAGATGCTAAGTGCTAGTGACGCTGGCAGGATAGGACGGTTAGTATTGCCGAAGAAATGTGCTGAGGTGAGCTCCTTTGCTCTACTCTTTTTTCTTTCCAGATCTGTTATTCCTTCCAGATTCAACAAATCCAAGAAAAAACTTGGTTATTGAAACATTAGAATATCTAAGAAAAATTTTGTATTCAATAGGGATTAGAAAATACAAGTGTTCTATCAAATGACTTCCTGTTTGGACAATATTTGGGTGAATTTAAAAAAATTTGTATATGAAGCTGAAAAAGTGTATTTGGAAGTTAAATTTGTGTTTGGACATGAATTTCACTTAGAGAGAAGTAGAAGTTTTGTGAGCAAAAAACAACCTATATATCACCTGAAATACTCAGCAGTTTTTCGACTTCAGATTCTTATTTCAAGTTGAAGTTGAAATAATGAACAAAATTGGAAAACATTGATTTGCAAATAATATTTCTGTATTTGCAAATAAGTGTATATCCAAATGCCTTAATGGTTGCTTTTGTTTTGTAGGAAGGGTGTGGTAGTGAAAGTACATCGAGTGAGTTGCGTGTGTCTCTGTAATCTAGGAAGGGCTCCTGTGCGCATGCCTTTCCCTAAGGGGTAAAGGCACACAAGTGAACTAGAAAATAATTCTAACTACTTTGGGCCAGGGGTGGTATAGGATTTGCTCGTCTTTGATAAATCTATTTCATTATTTCTGTTCACGGTATATAGCTTTTGATATTGTCTCCTAGTACCAATTCTTTGCTGAAGTTCTTGCTTTCTCCATTCGTAAGCTGGTTGAGAAAAAAATTCACCGATCAAATTCGTTGAGGATTATTGCGTAATTGATTAATCTATGCATATTTTCTCCCTTTTAACTGAAAGGTATCACATTCTTTTCCTGTTCTGACAAAGTTTTTCTTTGATGAAGGCCTATTTTCCACCAATTTCTAATCCAGAAGGGCTGCCTCTCAAGGTGCAAGATCTGAAAGGGAAGGAATGGATGTTTCAGTTCAGATTTTGGCCTAATAATAACAGTCGTATGTATGTCTTGGAAGGGGTGACTCCTTGTATACAGTCGATGCAATTGCAAGCAGGTGACATAGGTAATTTCATCTGTTCTACAACTAATTATTTTCTAGTTTATCTTCCTTGATGGATCTGGTGGGGAAGGTGAGAAAGATTGCTCTTAACGAAAGAGAAAGATTTTTGTCGTTAGAGCGTAGTGGCTTATTTGATATTTTGATTGTTTGGGTGGCTAACTATTAAACTGCCATTCTTGGCTTGTGATATCAGTAGGAAATTGTCTGTAGGCCTTAAATTCGTTTACTTTTCTTAATTTCTGTCCGCGTGTTAGAGGCATCTTGCTGACTGAGTGTGTTTTTTCCATCAGTAACATTCAGTAGGATAGAGCCAGAAGGAAAGTTGGTCATGGGGTGCAGAAAGGCCTCAACTACTCTTACAGCAGATCAGGTTTGCCAATTCCTAATTAGTAGCTTCTTCGCCTCCTCATGGTGTACTGTCTTAATTTACAAGCTCTGAGATTATCTGGAAACAAAAGTTAAGACCTCTACGCTAAAAATATTAAACCTTGGCTAACAAGAAAAGCATGTCAGAATAGGGATAATAAACCATATGGATCCTTTCTGCAATTTCTTTCTGATTTCAACACTTTTATGTGTCTCAGTCATGGTGCTCATCGGGTATAGATTCTGAGCTTCTCATGTCTCTTTTGGAAAGCTGTTGAATTCAGACCTCCATTTGTTCTTACTTGTCCTTCTATTAACAGGGAAGTGAAGCTTGCAGTAACAGTAACGGTGTTGTTACAAATGGGAATGTCAATACTAAAAGTACCAAGTTCTCTGAAGAAGTTCTGGCAAATTCTACTAAAAAAGGCTTTTCATCAACCACTCATGTTGCTCCAGCAGATTCAACAATTGGCTGGGCTGAAACTAAATTGTCCGATGATATGGCTATGGAATTTTTAGGAAACAATCGTTCTATTCCTTGTAAGAGGAAGAGTAGCACCCTGGGTTCAAAAAGCAAACGCTTGAGGATTGACAATGAGGACTTAGTAGAGCTGAAGGTCACAGTGGTGCAAGCCCAAGGGTTGATGCGTCCACCTTCAAGTGATGCTCCTACAGTAATCGTGATAGAAGGCTGTGAGTTTGAAGAATACGAGGTACCATGGTTTTTAGCAGTTTATTGTCTACCAATTCTTGCTGGTTATAGATCTGAAATTCTAAGTTGCTATGTGCTTTTGCATATAACTAGGATAGATGATCAGTTTTCTTTGTTATGCATGCTTTATGGTGTTTGTAAGCACTCTCTTGATTTTTCCATTCAGAAGATGTGCAGCTATCACTTCCTGCTGGAAATGTGAATCACATATTTCTTTCCAAGGTTCCGTAAGAAATACTCCCCCCAACCCACCCCAACCCACACAACACACACCAAAAAAAAGAAAAGTATTGAAATAGTGTATGCATTGGAAGCATAGGGTATATCACATTGAAAATGGGGGGAGGGGGGGCACCTAAAAGAGTCTTATCAGTTTGGATCCAAGGGGCCAATACTGACAGCTGAGAACTTGAGAAGGAGGAGGATTACATATGTTAGATTGTGCTTTATGTGTGGATGCTTGAGCGAAGTCGTGGGATCCCATCCTGTTGCATTTTCAGGTGCAACATGATTGTATGGTTAGTATTGAACTGGTTCGGAGTACAATGAATGATGCTGGACCTGTGAAGGATGTACTGCATATCTGAGCAATATTGCGTTCCTAGCCCCTTGTGTGGTCCTGTTGAAGGAGAGAAGTTGGAGAGGTTTTGTGGGGTTGGAAATGACTTTGTACATTTGAGAAATAGCCTCTTGTTCTTTGTTAACTTTAGTGCGCCCATTAAGTCTTTGTTTGTATAGAAGATTGTGTCTCTTTTGTTGAGAACCATATTCTATGTATGCTCTCTACTTTGTGCTATGCTGCTAGATGTGGGAGTTTACCGACATTGATAAAATCACCTACCTTATACAAAAAATTGGGGGTAAACCGGTAAAGGCCAATATATAGTCCAATATACTTTATCTTCCATAGCACCACAAATTAAAAGCACGAGGGGCACCACTTGATGGATATACTTATTTTTGAAAGTTTTAAGTGTCTTCTATATACACATATATAGCATAATAAACCTTGTGTGCTGGAAACCTTATATGCTGGATCCCCCTCTGCTTCTGTTCTCATTGGACTTTGAAATCTGCATTGCTTCTAAATCATTATGTCAAGGCAATGCTGCTTCCAATTGAGTACTATCAGTATTTTTACTGTGTGAGCTTTCCGGAGCCCCACTTCTCTGGCTGGCCCATCTAAAACTGGCTTGTGTGAGGACTTTGAGGAGGACTCCTACTTCAGAAAAAAAGGAAGGAACTCAAGGTATGCAGACACTTATTATGTCACCAAAACAAGATGGGATCTAGTGATGACATACTTCTTACTATGCAACGAGTTATGTTTTCAATAATGAAATTATTTGCTTAGTTGATGTTTCGGTTGAGTAATATTCTTCAATGCTTATTTTACCCTCATTTCTTTCTGAGAGGTTATTGTTGGCATTTCTTTTCAGTGGTTGTAAAAACTCAGCAATTATTTTGTAGCTAATACTGAAACGTGCAATATGTGTCCAATCTTCCCTCCACTTGTCAGTTCGTGTTGGTAGTCCTTGTAATATTTGTTACTGATATTAATCCTGTCCTATTTATCCTTGACTTGTTCCTCTTAGCAGGATGCACCAATTATTGGCAGGCCTGCAATCCCTTCTGTGGATCATTTGGGGTAAACTGCTAAACTCTGACTATTAGTTGTATATGCAACTAGCTCTGCATGGTATGTATCAAATTGCATTGAATGAATGAATGCTGATGCTTTATTCATCCTATCCAGTGAAAAAATACAATGGGTACAATGTGAGGACTGTTTCAAGTGGCGAAAAGTTCCTGACAGTGCTCTCCTTCCATCAAGATGGACTTGTTCAGAAAACTCATGGGACTCCGAGAGGTATGATGGAAATTCTTTATTATATCTACAATATGCTCTTAAATGACAATAGAATATATGAAGGAACTACCCAAGGCATGATTTTGTGAGTGTAAACGCTGAAGAGGATTGCAATAAGCAATCCCGGGAAGTCCACAACCTCTAGCTCCAGTAATCAGCTTGTTATAAAAAGAGAATGTTCTGTAATGGCGAATCATAGGGATGTCAGAGGTTCTTTGAAAACCGACGGAACCGATAAATTTATTTGTAAAAAATATACTATTACTTATAATATTAAGTTTAAAAAAATTCTTGGACCTTGGGATGGATCTAGAGGAAAACAGCTACATGTAAAACTCAATCCTACGCTGCTACTATTGAAACTAAATTGATCCAAAATTTTCATTCACAAACTACCAAGGAATATTTTTTCGTTTTTTTCCTTCCCCTTTATATCCTTTGTACTATTTGGGTCAAATCTCAATTCTATTTTTTCAAAAAATTGTACTGATGCTACCTGTTAGTTATTTAGACTTTATGTCTTTTGAGTTTCAAATTTTCGGTTAACAATTCATCAATTGTTCTAAGATAGAACAATATTTGTTGTTGGTTTGGGAGTGCACAACCTGCAGTAATGCAACCTCTGCCATGTAAATCAAAATCTCGCGTATTACCCTATATTTTATGTTTTATGTTGGAAGAGATTTCTTCCTTACTCTATATTTTATGTGTTGTATTTTTTTTAACAGCGGGATCCTCCTTCAGAATCCCTCTTAAAATAATTGGCGTATGCCACTATTTGCGGCGAGCACATGATATTCTTTAGTTAAAGGCGAAAGAATAGTTCGCTTTGTGCTCACCGCGTGGCTGAGTTTATGTGTTATATATTAAAACCTGCTATTATCTTATACATAACAAATGAGACATCCTAATAACAGCGTGACTCTTATGCGATGTTTTAAAACTAAATTACTGAAAGTTAACAGAACCTTACCGGTACCATATAGAAACCAAGTTGATTATGACGGTTTCGAAAAGTCTAATTTTGGTTATATACAATTGAGTTACCGAAAATTGGTATGGTATAAATTTCTTAAAATAACTGGCCGAACCGAGCCATTGACACCCCTGGTGAATCACTCGTGATCAAATGGACTTCAAATGGTAGATATTGAAAATCGTTGAATATATTGTCATCTGGACACAAATTGATCCTTTCCTTGTTCTGAAGGCCGTCTTAACCTTGCTATCTGGAATTCGCCATTGATGAGGTTTTCTATGTTTGGTTGGTCTCCTCTCTTCTCTCAGCAGTTTGTCCGTTTAATCAACTCTATAGCATTTTTCTCATGTCACCTCCTGTTTTCTGTTCTTTAAAAAAAGTTGACTTTGAACCAACCTTCATGATATGTTCTTGGCACCTTTGCTAGAATTTTACAACTGAGTGTCCTGCATTATATGAGTATTGATCATTTAAGAACTCCCAGTTTTCCATGTTCTGTGATTGTTGTTCTGCAAATGGCATCTGGCTTTCTTTTGCATTAACGTAGATATCAACTAATGTCAGTTCATTTCCAAAATAGTTTAGTCAATACCTGAATTTCATGCAAGTTTTCAATTGCAATTAAGTTTTGGCTTATGATTTTTCTGCTTTTTAGGTCTGTGTGCTCGGCAGATCAAGAATTAACTGCAGATCATCTGCGAGACCTCCTGCCTCGTATTAATAAAGGCGAGTGTTTTGGTCCCTGTCGGTCATAAATTTCTACACTAGTGAGCCAATACTTTCTGTCTTTGCCTCATATTGATCAATCAATTGGGGGCCCTTCAGGTTTGTTGAAATTACATGATCTTTGTGCAGCTGCCAAGAAAATGAAGGCTTCTAAACAGGAAACAGACGTTGAGGCTCTGGATGGGCTTGATGCACTTGCTAATCTCGCTATTCTAGACGAGGGAGAGACTCTTCCAGCATCATCACAGGCCACGACGAAGCACCCACGTCATAGACCTGGGTGTACCTGCATTGTCTGCATTCAGCCCCCAAGTGGAAAAGGTCCTAAGCACAAGCAATCATGTGATTGTATCGTCTGTAAATCAGTAAAGCGTCGTTTCAAAACATTGATGCTGAAGCGTGAAAAAAAGTTATCAGAGAAAGAAGCAGAAGCTGCTTGTCAAAAACTGCAGCCACAATTGGCTGGACAACTGCTTGATGCTGGTGACATTCAAGAATCTAATGATGACGCAGGGCATTTTAGCCCACAGCGGGGAGAGCTGAACAATGAGGGTTATGCGGATGATCCCAATTACCCTAATGAGAAGAAATCTTCTGCTTTGCCATTTAAAGGTGAAATTGACCTGAATGCTAAACCAGAGAGAGATGATGAGCTTTCACCAGGCTCTGATTCTGGCAGCATAATGCGCATACTCCAAGTTGCTGCAGAGCAATATGTCAGGCATTGTGAGAATGGAAGTTTCACGGGTAATCATGAAAATGGAGATGGTACTGGAGAGACAAATCCGAATAATTGTGTTATTGTTGGTGGTACTAATCAAACTGATGTAGACCATAATAGGCCTTTATCTATAGGCACGGCTGCATCTTTGGCACCTAATGACCAGTAGGATACTCCTCCATCCAGCACCTAATATTAGCTTGTGCTATATAAGAAATCAGAGGTGCTATTGCAGCATAGTGGTAACATGTATATTTAGGCTTTACAGGTATCATGCATTTCCAGAGTTGTACATAGGTAGGTGTAGTAAGTGATGCAACCTCTCCGCACAGGTTACTTTTTTAATGGGTGCGAGGTGCTTTGCATATTATTATAAATGGCCGGAAGGGTTTTGGAGTGTTCAATCTTTGTGTGAAAAGTGCTTGTTTCTTTTTTTATTTTGTTGGTGCCTCTGGAAATGTCACAAGTTTTGGATAGAAAGGCTCATGGACTGACTTTGCGCTTGGGAAGTTGCTTAATGCCAACAATGGCACGAGTTATTTTGGTTTTCCTTCCATCTCGAGAACAGGCATTCTATTATGTCTATGACCGTAGGCTTATTAGCCCTGATACGGATTCGAGGATTTGGGGTTGTCTAAGCATGTGTGGCCAACTTTGGCTTGCTATGGGTGAAGTCATGGTTCCCAAAGGTGACAGGGAAATCTATTTTGATGATGCTAAAAACGAGTAGAAAAATAGACTGATTAACTGTAGACTGATTAGAGCCTTATTGTTCGTTGGAGAAGATCGATTTGACTTAATACCTCCTGGCTTTTGGTTCAGCCAACTATGAGGATCCCCTATCCAACAACCCAACTTATATAAAGGTTGGAGCCATAAACGTTAACCTTATTTCTTATTATTACAAACATTTTGTTCGTGCTTAATTGCGAAGAGCACAGCCAACATGAATAATGGGTAAATTAGAGGGCTAATTTGAAGAATGGACTCTTAACGGCGTTTCTATATCTTATATCATATGTAGGGTGATGAAACGCTGAGAGTATTGTTGTTTGCGTCCAGTTTAACTCTCTTTTTCTCTTTTCCAACGTTATTCCAAGATTAGGATCCATTTTTTTAAATTGGCATGCATTGTAAGGTAGAATGAAAATTTCAAATACGGGATTTCCTCCAATATTTAAAAGGTATGTGAATTAGAGAAAGAATAAGGGGGGTCTCCTTGCAATATCATGTCAATATGGATATGGCATGCAATACATCTAAAAATAACTAAATGAGACGATTTTAGAGCCCGTTTTGCTTAGCTGATTTATAGTAGCTGATAAGTATTAGGTGCTGAAAAGTACTTTTAAGTGCTGAAGCTGATTTAAAAAATAAGCAGTTACGTGTTTGGATAAAAGTGCTGAAATTAATAATAAGCAGCTGAAGAACCGGGTTTACGAAGAGTTTTGTTTTAAAAAGAAGTATTTTAGGGATAGAATAATAAATATTTTGGTCAAACCTAAAGTGCTTATAAGCTGAAATTTGATAAGTTGGGAGAGACCAACTTATGACTTTTGGCTTATTTTTGGCTTATAAGCACTTAACTTATAAGTACTTTTAATTTTACCAAATGCGTAGATAAGCCAAAAAGTGCTTATAAGCCAGTTTGACAACTTATAAGTTTAGCCAAACACTCTCTAAGGGGTCGTTTGGTAGGGTGCATAAGAATAATGCTGAATAGGATGCATTAGTAATGCTGATATTAGTTATGCTTGCATTAGTTATGCTGGTATTAGTTATGCTGACATATTTCTTATCCATTGTTTGGTTTGATATATTAAAGTATTGCATAATTTCTAAAAGAATTATTTGTTTACAAAAATGCCCTCAAAACTAGTCCACACTCTAACTTTTTAAAAGAAACATATGTTGAGAAATATTTTTATATGAAAAATTTTTAAAAAATTATTTTATTTGTCTACTTATATTGTAAAATAAAATAAAATATTTATTTATAAATAAGGAAATATGCTAAGTATTTATTCATTTACTAGGGATATAATTTTATTTCTCACTATTTGGATTATTTTGAACTTGCATTAATATACTAACTAACATATTTTAAACAAGCATAAATTTTGAAGGATAATTTTGTCTTTAACTAAGCTAATGCATGCATTAAAACCCATTGCATTGCTAATACCATTATTTTCTATGCATTAGTTATGCATAGGATAATACCAAACAGGATGTATAACTAATGCTTGCATAACTAATGCATAGATTCAAAATGTCTACCAAACAATATATTATTAATACACAAAGCCAATGCATCCATTAACTTATCTAATGCATCCTACCAAACGATCCCTAAATGTATTAGTGCTATCGCCTTAAAGGTGGAGAATATTTCCCTGGTTTCGACTTACCTTCTCTCTTCTCTTCTCTTCTCTTCTCTTGCAGCTGACAATCTTACTCAACCTTGTCACGAGCCTTTCAAATATTATAATTGGAACTTCTACACGCTAATGTAATTTTTTTTTTTTAATTCTCTCTAATAGATTGTCATTATCTGAAAAGGAAAATTTGACTTTGTAGTGCTGGTTACGGAATTTGACACCCTTTCAGTTCGATCCTCAGAATATACCACAAGCACAAAAGTACAAGGTAACTGAGCTACAACTTGTGTCTAATAACGTGATTTTATTTCAAAAATATAATTCTGACAATCATGAATAAAATATGAAATTCTACTCTTAAATATTCACTATATATCTGATGTAACGTGAGTTTGGCTTTTTTTTGCTGTGCAGGAAAATTTGACCCAAAAGATTGAGGCAGTTGCAAGTAGGAAAATCTAAGGTTAATCCAAATTCACCGACAGTTCGTTAACTCCCAAACAACTATGTTATTTTGGTCCCCATATATATCTTGTCACTGAAACATATGTGATTCAAGCTTCCAAAACACCCATTTGCTCTAATAATCAAAGAGGAAAAAATGAATGGTCGGGATCTTTCTAGTTAATCAAAAGTTTCAAATTCCAACGTTCGAAATAAATAGTAGCGAGTGCTTTAGTAAAATAATCCAACTATATGCAAAATACAAAAATTATACTTTTAAATGATAGTGATAGTGCGAGTTCTACATCTTATTATTTTCTTTTTCCATATAAGAGAATGAAATTTTATATCAATTCGGTCATATCAAGTCATGTTCTTGAGAGTAAAATGAAAATACTTTTTGTCACATAAAATAATTAAGACAGAAGGAGTAACATATTTGGCATGCAATTAACAGCATTATATTGGTTGCGGAAAATAATACTATTACTAGACCTACTAGAGCAGCATTATATTAGTGTTGTGAAAAATTACTGAGTCTATTACTCAAACAGTCACTCAACTATACCAAATTATCTCCTAAAGTCACTTTACTTTCGTTTGTAACAACAAAGTCACTGAACTATGCCTATTGCACTCAGAAGGCCACTCAACTAGATTTTCCAAATTTTGGATCGCCAAATACTTATTTTTACCCTCTAAATTATAAACATTTATCTTTTTTTTTTTTTGTGTGCATATTGCACTCAGAAGGTCACTCAACTAGATTTTCTAAATTTTGGATTGCCAAATACTTATTTTTACCCTCTAAATTGTAAACATTTATCTTTTTTTTATTTTTTTTAAAACTTTTTAATATTATGATTTTTCCTTTTTAATTTATATTAATGGACTTACCAATAGAATAAATAATATTATTTACAAATTAAAAAATAAAAAGTATTTAAGCAAATATAATGCTGGAATAACAAAATAATGAGCATAATAAAAAAATTAATTAGAATAATTTGTTAGTAATAATAATTTTAGTATTAACAACAAAAATTCAAAAATTTATTTACACAATTCGGAATAAAGAAAATAAAGGTTGTAAAAAATATATTTCATGCACGTAATATACAAATAATTATTTAAATAAAGGTATTTTTATAATATAGATTATATATTCTTAAAAATTATGCTCAATTATATTATTATGTTTCTACTAACTTTCCGATGACACAAAGTTATGTCACCAGAAAGCAGGGGGACTATCTGTATAGGGTAAAATATATTATGTTAAGTCGTGCATGGAATATATATAATATAATTGAGCATAATTTTCAAAAATATATAATGTATATTCTAAAAATACTTTTATTTAAATAATTATTTTTGTATTACATGCATGGAATATATATTTTACAACCTTTATTTTCTTTCATTCTGGATTGTGTAAATAAATTTTTGAATTTTTGTTATTAATACTAAAATTATTATTACAAACAAATTATTCTAATTAATTTTTTTTACTATGCTCATTATTTTGTTAGTCCAGCATTATAGATGCTTAAATACTTTTTATTTTTTTAATTTATAAATAATATTTATTTATTCTATAGGCAAGTCCATAATATAAATTAAAAGGAGAAAATCATAATACTAAAAAATTACAAAAAAAAAGAAAGATAAATATTTATAATTTAGAGGGTAAAATAGGTATTTGGCAATCCAAAATTTGGAAAATCTAGTTGAGTGACCTTCTGAATACAATAGACATAGTTCAGTGATTTTGTTGTTACAAAATGAAAGAAAGTTGACTTTAGGAGATAATTTTAGATAGTTGAGTAACCATTTGAGTGATTGACTCAAAATTACTTGTTACTTGGAGCTCCTACTTGCCTTCAACGAAGGGATCAAAATTAAAAGCAATCACTTGCATTTGAGTCCGATTTCTGTAACCCCTTTTTGTTTTTCTCTTCCCACTCCACTATGGTAGTATTCCGTCAATATGTTCATAGATATATATATATATTCGGAAATTTATGTGCACAAAGTACGAATATTTTTGGTTAGAGAATCTGCAAGTAATCGTCTTGAATTGTCGTTCTTAAATGAACAAAATCTCAATTTTCCAAATAAAATTACATACTTTTAGAACTTGTTACAACAAATATTTGAGAAAAGAATTCCAATGTCAAATGGGAAATGAAACATGTAGTATTAACATTATGCCATTATGGTACCAAAGTACTACTAAACGAGCTACAACTTGTGCGTCTAATAATGTGATTTTAGTTCAAAATATAATTATGACAATCGAAAATAAAACATGAATTCTAATATTCTTACATACAAAAGCACTAATTTATCTGATGTAACATGAGTTTGGCTTTACATAAGAATTTTTTTCTTGCGGGAAAATTTGACCCAAAAGATGGGGACAAATTGCAAGTTGGAAAATCTAAGGTTAATCCAAATCCACCGACAGTTTGTGAAGAGCCAAACAACTATGTCAGTAGTAAGTTGTTACACGTTTTGGTGCCCTTTCCTCCCCCATATCTCCTCACTCAAACATATGTCTCAACTCCGAAGCTTCCAAAACGCCCATTGGCGGAAAAAAATATGACTTTTCTAATTTAATTTTTATGCATTGACGCTATAAAAAGGAGCATTGGAGTAACATTAAAGTTGTTTTATATGACCTATAAATAACGAGCAGAAAAACACCACTTGAAGACGCTGAAAATAGCACAAAATTAAAGAACCCTACAAACACAAAACTATAAGGAAATCTCCATTTAGCTGTTAGGAGGCTTCAACATGCACCTGATGTTTGCTCCAAAAGATGAAAAAACTCTTTACAAAATTAAATTCTATTGTCCTAGGCTACACAAGTTTCATTGACATGCACAACCTTTTTCTTTTTCCATGGTAAAGAGGTGGGTTTTACTTAATCAACTTGAAATACAACTTTTTCGAATTGAGTCAATAAATTAGCGTTTAGACACTTAATCTTGAAAAGTTTCTGAGTTTGTAGACCTTCCACCGTATATGTCAAGTATTCTATATCTTCCACCGTATTTAATTCCTACCTTTTAGATGATTAGGATATTAATTCCAGTATAAAAATTTAAAATTGTATTTATTCACTGTTTAATTATTGATATTAGCTAATCCAAGTATAAATTCTATACTAAGGCACCATCCGCAATAATTCTAAGTCATTAAACGAATTAAATAATGAAGTTCATAAAATATACACTAATACACCATCTGCAACAACTGTAACTACACTATATTCGATTTTCTTCATTTAATAAATTATATCAATAAAAGAACAATTCACTGTATTTGATTTATCCACTTTAATTTGTACAGTAAGAGGTTCCCTATACTTCCTATTTTCAATACATGAATATCAAACAAGAACTAGTCACCCAAAAACCAAAAAAGTTAAATCCATATTGCAAACCCCTTTCTTTTTTGTTCCCTTTTTTTTTCTTTGTCAACCTTTTCTTTTAAAAGGAAAAAAAACCCTTCTTTTTTTTACTGGAAATGAAGATTAAAAAAGAGTAATTTACTAAGACGTTACTTTAGACGCCACGGTTAATCATCTCCATGTACTGCTGCATAGACTGTTGTCTCTGCATTCTCATATCTTCATTGAACTTCTTGATAAACGCCTCCACTCGCCGATTCAACTCGTCGGCACTCGGTGACGGCTCTTTCACCAGCTTCGCTGCCGACGGAGACGGCGAAGCCGACGGCGAGTCGTAGTTTGTTCGGTCCTTAAACGTCTCCGACTTAAGCACGTGCCTCTGCTGCTGCGGCTGTTGAAAGGTGGTGGAATTCTCGTTTTCCTCCGGAGCGTCCACCGTCACGTGACGTCTGTGGTCTTGAAAGGTGTCTGATTTCTTCAGGTGTCTCGTGAGTGGCACGTGACGCCCCTCTGTTATCATCTTCCATGTGTTCTCTAATGTCTCCGGCTTTTTCGACCTTGCCACCCTCAGTGCCTTCAGCCCTGAAATTGTCCATTTATTTAATTTACTGATATTAATTTCAAAATTTTATTTAATAGAAGTTGCAAAGATAGATACTTTATCTGAATAAATGGATAGGAACAAGAGATAAGGGTTCTAGTGTGACGTCGACGCGATTTTCAGATGACGCCATTTGCGGCGTTTGCTTTATATAGCTAACAATATACTCATGTACTTTTTCTCGTCACGTCCCGTTTTATGTAAGGATTCAGGGAAAAAAGGGATGAAAATACCTTATTTTTATGTGAATTGGAAATTCGAAAAGGCTTTTTAAATAATAAATTTTAAACTATTGAATATATATAACATAAAATACATTTTTGTTTACTTTGTTTCATGAATTTATGTGACACAATTAATATTTAAATGTCAAAAATTAATTTTTGCTTTTACTATTTATAAAAATATTTTAAATACTACCTATTTCAAATTACTATATTTTTTTTCTTATATCAAAAATTCAAACATATAAAAATATTTGAAATTCTTTTATGCCAAAAAGAAAATGTCGTGACTTCAAATATAGTCTAGTAGTAAATGAGCACTAAATAAAAAGGTTAGTAGTTTTCACGTACCTTCTGGACTCGTTTTCACAGGCGGTTTCCGGTTACCAAACCTAGAAGAAACCAGAGGTTTCTCCGTCGCCTTCAGTAGAAGAAGCTCAGTTTCAGTGTCAGCTTCCGGCGCTGGAGCCACAACAGATTTCGAAATCACAATCGCATCACTGTCAACAGGCTCATCATTCACACCTTCATCTGCAGGATTCACATCCACAATACTAGAGCCGTTCACCACCACAGGCTTAACCTCCAACACCAGCGGTTCGTTCACCGGCAGCGGCGAGGCCGCCTCCAACACTTCCTTCACTTCACTTTGGACTGAATGAAGCCCCGAATGAGCAATCGCTATCAAATCTGACTGTGGAGGTGTTCTAGCAGTAATCAACGGCTGAAATTGATCGCTGGAGCTGGACTCCTTATGGTTCGAGGAACGAGAAGTGGCGGCGATGATGATGATAATACCGTTGATCACAACGTAGAGATACGGAGGCTTAAGCCAAGCTATAACGGCACTCCAAATAGTTGGGAGTTCGTAAAAAACTAACGGAATAGACGCTTTTAATACCATCGCTAAGGAAACTGCACCAATTGATATTAGTACAACCTTAAGCGATAGAATTAAACTGTTCGTCGACGGCGCCATTTTAATTTCTTCGATAACCTTACCGAAATTATTTGCTTTCCAGTGAGTGTTTTGAGTTTTCCGGTGAGTGTTAATAACTGTAAAGGAATCAAAGGAAGAGCAGGTGAAGTGGATTGGTTATGGAAAAGTGCTTTGGGGGTTGAGGAGTATAAATAATCGTGGAGGCTCGGGGACGCGGTTTGTGGGTTATGATGAAATCTGGACCGTTGATAGGGGTAAAAGAGAGGTTTGATTCTGGGCTGAGCTGGATCAAGAGTTGCCACTTGTGAAGGATGAAGGCTGGCCCACGTGTTTGCTGATTTACGGTATTTATTATTATGGATAAAGCAAATTGTTTTGTAATTTAATGGTTTTATTAAATTTGCTGTTAATTTTTCTAGAGATAACGAGCTTTTAGTTTTAGATATCTTGGGTGGAGCTCGAAAATGATGTTTGAAAATGGAATAATTTATATCTAAAGAGTATTAGATCATTAATTTTTTTTTGACAAAGTGAAAAAGAATATTCAAACGGGTATATTAGGTGAGCTGTGTTTTTGTCGCTGGCAAAAGGGAAAAGGAAAAGAAAAATAAAACAAATTGATGTACTTAAGTCTTGAAAATGTCAAAATCGAACTCTTGAGCTATTTTATGTAAAAGGAAAAATAAGTAAGCCGTATATCCAAAACACCAAAGAAATTGTTCATATTAGAAGAAGAAGAAGCAAATTGCACCTAAAAGATGCATGCACTTATATCATTTACCTTTCTTTTCAGTCATCTTTCTCATATTAAGCTCCCAAGTTGGCTGCAAATAAATCTTATGTATAAGAAAACAAAAATAAAACGAATTTTCCAACGAACTGGATGGAAGTTTTATTTAAGTATTGGTCATTAGGCTATTACAAGAGTCATGTGAATTAAGGTGCATGTCAAAAAATAAATAATTCTGAACTGTTTCGTATAGGTAATTTTCTGTAGTCTTAACTATGCAGTTTGCATCACTAACCTGAATTATTTTGAGATTTGGCACAGATTCAAAGTAAAGCTTCTTTCTTTAATTTACAAGTGGAATGGCGTGTGGGGTGTGGCAGTGAAATGAATGCAAGTGTAACTCAGAGCTGGCAGAAAAATCTTTCTAGAAATGTAAAGTTTCCTGCTAAAGTCAGGTAAATTTTCTTAACATGCAAGTAGTACTTCAGAGTACTATATTATTCTTGACGTGTCAACAACTTTTTGAATATTAAATATTCAGCGACACCCACACACATACACACTTTTATAACGGTCAATTTAAGGACCGTTAGTAGCGGAACTTTGGTAGCGTGATTTAGAAGCCCGGTCCTATGTGGCTCCATTTCTCATTCTCACAAACACAACTGACTTATGGACCCGACAATGGGGTACACCCCTAGCCGACCAACTGCTTATTGCTACTTTTCTTTCTCAATCTATATTTTCCCAAAGGCAAACGAATGCTTGAAGAGGGAGTGAAATTACCTTATCCTAAACTTCGCAGGGAGGGTTTACTCGGATTACAACAACGACAATTACATATGCAGTGTAATTTTTTTATAAGTGAGGTCTAAAAAGAATAGTGTGTACGTATAGATCTTAACCTTATTTATCTTGTGAAGATAGAGAAACTGATCATGTTTCCGATAGACCCTTCGCTCAAGGAAAACATAATCATATCAGTTTAAAAAAAAGATACGGCGGTGAAGAAGCCATGAGAAAAAACATAGTAACTACAACCAGAAAATAAGATAACCAAAGCAACAGAAACAACAAGTAATAATAGAAATCTAAGAATATGAAATACTAGACTACACTAGTATTACTTGTAAAGGAAAAGCAATGTAGGTATAAAAGAGAAATGCGTTCGACTACTTACTAATCTACTACCATATTCCTCTAAATCCTTATTGTTAGAACATGCGCAGCGGAAGCAAGCATACAAACCATGCATCAAATACATGTAAACTAGACAATGCAATAATAACGAGATTTGAAGCACTAACCTCTTGAAATAGTTGCACAAATCTTCCAAACAGCAAGAATCCAGGACTGCAGTCTTCTGTTATTTGCCTAGTAAAACCTTAGATGATTTTGCTTTGGATGGGCAAGAACAATACAACTCTAAAAGGTGAGTTAATGGGTGAAATTAGTCTTCCTTTAATAGAGTTATTTTGACCGAAAATCCTCCTCCAAAAAAGTGAAGGATTCTCCTTCTATAAGAAGAATCCTACTTCAACTCTATTAGATGATATTTCTCCCAAGTCACTTTTTACCCAAGTCTTGTCCAGGTTTTTACTAGGTATAGCTGTATGGGTCTGAATTTGACCGACCACGACCTGCAGTGAGCACGACAGATGGCCGAGCACCTGTGAGTCGATGCCCAGAAGGGTATGACCTTATAGTAAGAGAAATAATAAAGTGGTAGAGGAAGCATATTAGGGGACATTGAGAATATTCCTAAAAGAAGATCTTTTGCATGTCGTTT